GGGTCTGGATGACAACGCTGCCATTTGTCACGTCTCAAGGTTGGGCCACCAAAGGGCAAACAAGACCAAAATGGCCCGGCACTCTGTGGCTGCTCTCCTCCTGCTGTGAGGGAAGGGCGGCACGAGGTTTCTTCATTCAGTCTGCTTTCCAGTTGGGTCCCCATAAGAGGGCACAGAAAATGCTCAGTGCTGGCTGACCTGCCCGGCAGAGCTGCCCCGGTCCTCGTCTGTGCTGCTTGCTAAGCCACCCTGCTGGCCCACAGACCGTGCCCCAGCACCTGTCCCCGTCCTCCTGGGACTGGGCGGCAGTCCAGATATTCTGGGCACCTTCTCTGGCTCTGCTCTTAGAAGGTCATCCCCCTGCCACAGCGTGGGAAGAGGGCTGCTAACCGAGTCCCCTCCCTGACCCTTCCCGTGTGACGTGGCAAGACCTCTGCCCCAGACGGCGGCCGCCCTGCCGTCCACGGGATGGACGCTGCTCAAGCCACAGCAGCACTCGGGTAGAACTGAAGGGGGTCCCTCCCTCATGAGGTCGGAGGCTCTGAATTTAAGTGAGCACAGCCAGAGAGGACATCGTCCACACTTTCCTGGTCTTTTTATGTGTAGATTTCCTATTCCTCAATGGACAGGAAACCAAAACACATCGAAGATGAGATGTCATGCTCACCTTTGACTATCGGGGTGCTCTCCTTGTGCCTCTCGACACGTTCCATCTTCTCTAACTTGAATTGAAGTCGACCGCTGCTTAATAGTCCCTGTTTCAGGAGTATTATTCTTGGTTCATTCTAAATCGATCCCTTTTCTAGATTCCAACAGTAAGGGACATCCTACAGGATTCCCTCAGTCCTAACCTTCCCTTCATACCTGTGGAGTGTCTGGGCCCTCACCAGCTCTTAACTGCCCAGTCCAGGACACTCGGCACAGGTGTTCTGCCCGTTTGACCCTGACCTTTTCTAGTATAGATCGGGCTCCCAGGTTTTCCATGGTGGGTGCTTGAACGCTCCCTCTTGAAACCTCTGTCACCAGCACAGGAGGGGAGAGCTGTCCCTCAGGCGCGGTGGCTCACTGGCTGGGTGGTGGGGGAGGCTGTGTCTGAAAACCAGGAAGCGGGTCTTGAAACAGCAGCAGCCCCTAAGGAAGGTCCACCCGGTGCCTCTGCCCTGCCCCTCTTGAGGGTCAGATCTAAGAGCTGGAATCACCGGGATGGGCCTCTGCGGTCTCAGCTTGTGAGTTTCACCCCTGGGGCGGGCTTGCCTTTGGTTGCAGACCTTGGATGAGATGTGATGAAGCCACAGCTTGACAAATCAGGAATAAGCGGGACATCTGCATATTGTTTCCCAGGCTCCCGGCTTTGAGGACCTGGTTGAATGCCTGTTATCCACATTCTGTGATTTATTACTCAACAGTTTAAATGACACTTGAATATGTGGGCCATTTCATTTAGAACAAACCTGATCTGTACTTTCCCACTGTATTTCAGTTCTTAAAGCACAGTTCTTCAGGACTATGATTGGCACTACAATTTCCAGTCACTTTGACTGATAGCGAAATGGGAAGAAGTTGATAATGATGCTGTTTTGTTAATAATGCATATTGGAGTGTAAATGAACCTTTAAATTGAAAAGGGAGCGCCATCGATGCTGTTCAGCTTGGTTCTCCGTATCGCTCTAGAAATAGTTGTAATTGTTTTTATGCAAGAGAAGTGTCCTTGACCTCAACTGTGTTTATATAATGAAAATGGTAAAAAAAAAAAAAATCATTTTCAAATAAGTGGAATACTTGGAAATTAGAATCACCCAGAGTTAGTTTTGGATAATACCTGATAAATATGACAGGCACATTTTGCAGTTAGATGCCACTCACCAATATGTTAGATGCCTAACTTATCGTTGCCTTTATTTTACACCAAAAAAAAAAAAAAAAAGACAGTATAACTGCCACTAACCAATCTCCGTTAGGCAGCACGGCGTTGTGGGTTGCAGGTTTCCTGCCCCGCTCAGTGCTAACTGTCGCAGTTACGGATGTGAATTTTCTGCAGATGTTGGGGTTTTTGTTCCCCAAGCATCAGAAATCAACCCACACTCGGAGTCACACCAGCCTCGATATGGATGTGAGCTATTGTTTGTCATTTTTACAAGGCTCTACATTAGACTCCGATGAGAGCCCACGCTGCTTCTGGAGGGGCACAGAGAGACAGGAGTGGCACTGTCTGCTCTCCTCCTAGAGCTCCCTGACCGCTCCGTCCCCCTGCCCCGCCCTCCCTCTCCAGGGCTCTGCACTCAAGAATGGAAACTTTGAACACACCCTCATGAAGCCCTGAAGGAGGCAAAGGCTAAGCCTGCTACTGGAGAAAATCCCACAATACATCCAAAGGGAAGTTATTTTTGAGCATCCTTTCTTTGGGAATTGTCTCTACCATCACTCCCTGGCATTGGTCGGAGTCAGATGTTGAAGTTGCTGCCTTCTCTGGGACGAAGCCTGAGCACGTAGGAGAGCAGGGCTGGGAGAGGCTGCGGTGCGTCCTCAGGTGGACTGGGCACCACTTCTGTGTTTCCAGCTGCCCACCAGGAGTTCCCAGGAGCCCCGGGCTGTGGCGGTGTTAGCTGTGATGGAAACACCTCCCCAACGCAGCTCCTGACCGTGGCCGGGCCTCGGGAACCACCAGGGCTGTTTGAAAGTTCCCTTTCCCTCCTGACCACCCTCGCTCCACCCCGAGGGAGCCTGTGCACGCAGCCCACTGCCGTGGCTGCTCTTCACGTGGGAGGCGGCGGCAGAGGCTCCACATGTCCAGGTGTGGGTCCCTATGAGTCTCAAATTCACTCAAACTCTGAATGAATAACACCTCTCCCTCGGCCCTCTGGGGTTTGGGGACTCAACTTTACAACTCGCTTTTGTCCCTGTCAGCATTGAGCTGGTCAGGTCCAGCCGCTCCTGGTGACCTGTCTCATGGCTGGCGCGTCCTGCCAGCTCGCACACCAGCCAGGCCTCGGGCTGCATCCTGCATGGATGTGGTTGGTGTGCACGGTCCCCACTCAAGTCATTGTCAAGGGGTGGAGGTGGCCTTTCAGAGCCAAGACCAGGGCTTCACTGTGAATATGCACAAAGCCACCCTGGAGCCAGGCCTGGGGCTGAGCTGCTGCTGATGGTCCCTGGCTCCGGAAGCTAAGCCAAGCTTCCGGTTCAGCTAACTTGCCCATCTTGCCAGAGCTGGAACCTGGGCCATTGCCACGGTATTCTGTTGCCCGGTCACAGCACACTGGCCTGATTGTGTTTGGCCCCCTCTCACCTCCCCCAGTGCCCACCTGGGTGGGAACTCACAGATGATCCTCCCAGCAGCCAGAGAGACACTCGAGTGCTCTGCTGCTTTTCAGTTATTAGATCCTCATCAGCTTCCTCACACGGCCGTGCCCTGGGCTGACTTCAGCCCTCACCTCGCCCACCCTGCCTGTGGCTACAGGTCCCCAGGCTCTTTCCCACCTCTGTCCTCCTGCTGCTGCTGTTCCACCTACCTGGCACACTGTTCCCACAATGCCTGCCCCACGTGCCCTCTCCCCATCCTTCAAGCCCCAGCCAGCTCAGGCCTGGCTCCTCACCATCCTTATGGCTGACCCCTATTTATTTCTCTGGTTGCCCTCTTCACAGAGTTTTATTTGTGTTAATTCTCTACTATTACCCCTCCTCCCAACCCCACTGGAATGTGAGCTTCGTGTGGGCAGTCACCTTGGCCTTGCCCTTCCTGGTATCCCTAGCACCCAGCACAGCACCTGCATACAGCCAGCTCCCCGTAGGCCTTGTGGGAGGATGCACCCTCTGCAATGCTCTGCCCCACGTGAACCACAGATCGCCAGGCAACTCCCGAATCCCTGATCTCGGCTTGCTTTTCTAGCTAGAATTGGGTCGAGCTCTCAGGGCCAGAGTTGGTGGCAGCCTGTTTGGGGGATGGTCTGTCTCTGGGAACTTGGCTGTGTTGACTTTGAAAGGCCCAGGAACTGGTGTGCCCCTGATCAAGACTCAAAGAGTCCTCTGTCTCCATCTTGGCGCAGAGACGGTTGGGCCATCCCCAGACACTTAGGTTACTCTTTGGGGACAGGCTTTTGTTCCCAGCCCCCCCCAAAAGGAAATTGAGACAGGCAACCAGTTCCTGGGGCTGCTCTGCCTATCACCAATTCAAACTGTGGTTTTCTTTCCCTGGACATCCTGGATAGGTGGAAACTGGGGAGGTAATCTAAGGCTCTCTGTCGGTGAGAGCAACCCTCCGTGGCTGGCCATTCCCTCGTGGCTTTATATTATGATGTGGTTAAGCTTCTCTCTGAGCTTGCAGTTCTCTGAATTCGTGAGAAAATCTGGACTTCTCTGAAAACTGCAGAGACAGGGAAATTGTGTTCATGTGTTTGTTTTCATTATCTGGAATTGTGTATTTTCTAAATGAGGATCCGGGGCCAGTTGGAAATATCTCCTGGTCGTTGATTTCACCCGCCAGTCTGAAAAGCCAGAGTCCTTTCAACAAGTTTTTCAGTGAGAGATTAATTTTTCATTTTCAGACTTGTATTTTCTTCTGCATAATTAGCTAAATTTGTTCATGGTTCAATCAGGAAATTTGGGGGCAAAAGAGAGATTTCTGCTTCTGGGACCCTTTGGCTAGGAAAACGGGCAGGACCTTTGTACTTCAGAAAGGGTCTCATTTTGAGCCCACATGGGCACCGTGGGGCTGGGTTTTGTTTGGGTTTTTTTCCTTTATCAGTGCACATGGTCACCACAAAGCCTGCCTGGGCACGGAGTTACAGAACTGACGTCTTCCTTGCAAGACTGTGAAAGCATAGGAAACGGTACCTTCCCAGAGCCTGGTTCTCATTCCTCCCCGAGGCGTCCAGATTTCTTTCGGGACACCTAACTTCATGAATCAGCACAGCTGGGTGGCAAGCAGGAACACAGCTTAAAGACAAACATTTTTCTTGTAAAAATCTGTTTGGAAGATCCCAGATGGATGGGGATTCGTTTTATAAAAGATGTTTCCCTCAGGATTATGTGACTGGAAATCTGATTCAAAGCATTCCTGAGTCCCTTTGCTTTGTCTGAAGGAGTGGTTAGGACAGGCAAGCCTTCTGCCAAGCGGGGAGCACGCACTTAACTCACAAACCAGCAATTTCATTCAGGAGGACCAGAGAGCGTTCAGCTCCCACTTCCTGCAGCAGCATGTTATTGCAGAAACAGAGGGCTTTGGGGTTGTTTTTCATGTTTGCTTTCTGAGACCACCCTCCATGAATTGCTTTATTTCTCCTTTAAAAAAAAAAAAAAACATGCCTTTGGGATTTGCCAAAGGCAAATCACAGAAGATTGTGAATGCTCTTTGAGGAAGCTTGGTTCAGAGGTCACCCAGCCCAGAGGCCCCTTGTTTGGGATGGAGTTCAGGCTGCCCCGCCCGCCGCCTCATCTCCATCTCTGTGCCGTGATGCAGACCTTGACTCCAGTTCTTCTCAACTGTTCTGCTCTAACCAAGCCCTGGTTCTTCAAGGGCACATTCCAGTCCTTTTTAGTTAGTTTGTTGGTTCCGGTTCCTGTTCTCCTTGTGCTGTGCCTCCTGGCCCCTCCTTCTCGCCTGGCTGTTCCCTTCAGACCGTCTCCTTCTTCCATTTCTTCTAACTAGGTTTTAAATGATCAGCCACTCCTGGGGTGGACCTCTTAGCATCCCAGAGGATGCTAAGAAGATGCAGTTGCTCTTTGAAAAGTATCCTCCTCCAGCTTTCCCAATCACAGAACAGGTACCTTTGGATCATACAGGAGAAAGGAACACCCGTGACACACTGAGCCCCACCCTCTTCCTCTGGGACCTCCACATGTGTGAAGTGGTGGCCTCTGGCCGGCTGCCCCTGCAGGGAGAGACTTCCTGTTCTTTAGTGTCCTCATTTAGTGACCTTGACCTGTGCTGATCCTATAATCAAGGATTCAGCAGGAAGGTGTAACTCCTTTTTAGGATTTCCCAAGTGGAAACAGAAAATACTCACTCATGTGGAGAAGGTTTTACAAAAATGGCTAGGGGCGGGGTCTACCTGTACTGGACTGGAGGAGGTGGGCCCGGTAGGTTTGGTCGGGGTCCACTCTCAGCTTTAAGTGGTTAGATGGGAGACATTGGCAGTGTTCTGGAAGCCTCGGGGAGGAGGTACAGGAAATTAAATTCATGTTTACTTTTGGCAGCATAAAAGAGAGACCCTCAAGATGACCAAGTACGTAGAGCTGGTTATCGTAGCAGACAACAGAGAGGTAAGACCTTCTAGAAACTTCTCAGTAGAGTTGGTAAAGATAGAAAAAGAAAGAAAAATGGAAATGTTTATTTAGCAAGGTATGATTTGCTGAAGGAATTAGGATTTAAGTTCATTGCCAGTGCATACTTAAAAGCATCAGAAACAACCCATATACAAAGTGATTTTCTAATTATATAAAATACAGAGTACTAAAATGTATCTGTTATCAAATACTAGCAAAGCCTGCAAGGGAAAAAAAAAAGTTTCTCTGTAGCTAAGCTCTCCAAACAAGAATTAATTGGGTAAATGATGATGAATGGCTTTTGATCATGTTCTAAAACATTTTTGAGAAAAGTTAAGCTTTTAAAATGTCTGCTATGTCCTAAACCAGACTGAATGGATGAATGAAGGTTATAGAGACAGCAGAAAAGTCCTAACCTCTGAGCTGCGGCTTGGTGCTACTATGTTAGATTTTTCTTTCAGTTAATTTTGAGTTAGGTTTTTCTTAGATTATCTTCTCTGTGCTTATTTATTGTGTCATTGACATATGGTGAATCAGGTGACATTTTCCCATAGACTCATGCCACACGCGGCAATGAAACGGTCTTGACAATTTCTCAGAACTGTTTCTGTCCTGGAAGTGCAGGTGGGGGAAGAGAGTGGGGAGTTCATTAACTTTTTATCCATCACCTTCTGCACTGGGACATGGTGCCATGACCTCCTATTGCTTTTACTGTTTAATTTTTAAAAACAAACATAAAGGAAGTTTCTGGGCAAGTTAGAATCAAGTTGATGATATGAAAAATGGCTCTGGACTGCTTTCTTGTTGTCCATTTTCCCTTTGCCAAAACATGTCACTGCCTCCATCATTTATGAGCCTGGAAAAACTGCAGAAGTCCCTGTCTTGGGAGCACTTGGCGTGGGTGGGTGCGTCTCAGGGAGTTTCTCGAGTCCCCAGCCAGAGGGAAGCCTTCAGCAGGGTGGGAGCTCACTTCACTGTAGGCCATGCGGGCGGCAGGGGGGTCATAAAAGCCGAGATTTTTGCATTTCCAGGAGCAGGGAAGATGACTTTTGATTGATATTCTTGCTGTTATTAATGCTGACATTTAAAATTGTTAAGTTTCAGAGGCAAGGAAAAGATCTGGAAAAAGTTAAGCAGCGATTAATTGAGATCGCTAATCACGTTGACAAGGTGAGTTCATTCTCAGGTGATTAAATCCTTCAAATCATGTAAATGTTTGGAAATGAGGTCGCGAGAATTAAGTGCATTGTCTGCAGCATCAAGGAGACTGGCTCTACCCCTGGGTCCCCACCCCTGGGTCCCCAAGCTGGTCGCATTCTCTGAGCAGGTGACTCCCAGGTACATGCAGCTTCAGGGGTTGCCCAGGGAAGGATTAGGAACGAGGGTCTCGGGGACTCGGGAGGCAGAGATCTGGGCTCAGAACTCAGGGAGCCGATGGCCAGCTGGAACTTTTGGAAAGTCAGAAAAATGCAGATGGACATTGATATCCCGGGGTGATATTGCTCCTGTCCACCAGTCCTTCAAGGCAAGTCAAACTTCCAGGAGACTCATTCTTACTGATTTATTTTCAGTAGTAACTCTTTGAACATTAAATTTGATCTCAAAGTCAAGCAGATGCAGGAGAATCCTGATAAAAGGTAAGCCCCTCTGAGGGAGGGCGAAGGTTGTATCACTAGAGGACCTTGGACCCTCCTCCCTAAGCCAATTGGACAGTGTCTGTGTCCGAGCCCGAGCCAGACCAATCGGATCCGGATCCCTGCAAGACAATGAAGAGTTACAGCTGAGTCACACGTGTCCAGCAGGGGTTAGAATCCCTGGGCAGTTTTGTTTGCTTGTCTGGTGTCCACTCTTCAAGATACCGATTCTCAAGTCTCTGATCTGATTGGCCTGGGCAGGGCACAGGTAGCTGCCATCCAGGGCCCTCCAGGGATTCCAATGTGGGGCAAGACCAAGGCGGATGACTACCAGGCAGGAGAGCACAATCCCTGATCCATGAGCCCGAGCTGCCACACCCAGGACAGGGTGACTGACCACTGCCCAAAGGCCTCAGGCTGTAGCACAAAAGGGAGTGACCGTGAGTTCTTCTTAGGCCTTGGAAGTAAAAGGAAACAACCATTTGACTCTATTAAAATCAAACTCAAAATTGCTGAAACCCCATTTTTGAAAGTGATGTGTTTGGGTCCTCTGTGTCTTTACATATTATTCTAGGATAGATCTTGCTTTAGTTTGCAAAACAAAAATGAGCAATTGGGGGTTTGCTAATAACTTGCACTGCCAGTTAAAGAACCACGTGCTTCGGTGAAGTCCTGGCAGGCTCCGGCCAGTGTGCCCATAGGGCTCTTGTGCTTCTGGCAGAGTCTGTTGGCCACGCACACAGCCCCAGAGACCCTGGGGGGGGGATACCCAGGCTCCTTAGGCTCCGTACACCCAAATCTGCTGACGGATGACCCCGAGGTCTGTTAAGCAGTCCAAATTTCAGTCTCCCAACTCGACACGAGGGACAGTCTTGGCCCCCAAAATATTGACCTTCCCAGAGGCCATTTCCTCATTTTCTGACACTCTGACTCCGCTGGCCATTCTACATTAATAACTGCCTGGCTGCATTGGCTGGGAGGGGGAGAAGGACATACCAGGCTGGAAGAGAGGGAAGGAACTGGGTGACAAGGGTGACATTCAGGAAATCCCCCTGTGAGGGGCAGACGCCTGTCTGATACTCCTAGGCCAAGCGGTGAGGCCCCGCACGATCCTGGGGAAGCACGCAGTGTGGGAAGCAGCAGCGTGTGCACTACCAGCAGGGGACCTCCACACCTTCGCCCCTGAGCCCTTCACGCCAGCAGCTGCGCCCAAGAAGTTAGCGCTGGCTGTGCACCTCCAAGGCCAGCCTCAGCCACCTTCTGAAAGACCCAGCCTCTGCTCTGACTCCTGAGGGCCTTTTCTCTCCTGTGACTGGCTTCTTGACCCTCCTCCCCAAGCCCATTGCCTGAGGACACAAAAGCACTCCCTGAACCCCAGGGAGTGCCACGCTCTGGTTTCCGATCTGCTCCTTCCAGAGAGCTTTCCTTGGCCCCTCCAGCACAGCATGCCCTGGACCCCCTGGGGTGGGGGTCACTTGGAAGGCCAAGATCAGAGTTAACTGGAACAATGGTGATGTCCATGGCTTAAGCCTCTTGGTGACCTCTCAGCAGTAGCAAGGGCAAAGGCAAGGGTAAGGGCATCCTGCTCTTTGCTCCCTCTCTGCTGGCCAAGCCCAGCCCACAGCAAGAGCTGAGCAAATATTGTGGCTGTTGTGTAAACAGGAGAATGCCTGGTCCCTAACTGTCCACCTAGCTCTGGGATCTCTAGGCCAGCCAGGCAGCTGTCATGCTCCTGGGCCTGGGCCCACAGGAGCTTCGGCATCTGCATGAGGGTGGCACCGTTACTCGTGGATCAACGTGGTTCAAAGGGGTCAGTTGGCCTCCTGTGCCCCAGCCCAGCCATGCAGTCACAAACCTGTCCTCTTCCAGCCTCAGTGCCTTGTATGATAAATGGGGACGATAACAATTCATAACTCAGAATCCTTCTGAGAACGGAGCTACGATTCAGAGAGCACCTCAGCGCCTAGCCTGGAGGGTGGCGACCCCCCGGCACAGGAGCTGTGGCTGTCGTTAGCAGCAGAACCCAAAGGAACCCACAGCCACAAACATTCCCATCAGCAGTGAAGGATGTGACGGCAGCTCGATGTGACCCAGTACACGGGGCAGTTTGTCAGTGGCCCTCACCTGCGAGAGGGGTTGTGTGTTGTATTCTGCTACATCCAACATCTGTTCTGGGACGCAGCTTGGGAGGGTTTATCAGTGGAAGTGTGAACCCCTTCATTATTCTGAGAAGCTCCCTAATTAGTAAGCAGCAAAGTAGCACTGAAGGAGGATGACAGATCCGTCCTTTGCAGACCTTGGCTCCCGATTCCCTACGACAGGCCTGGGAGGCCAATGGAGTTCCCTCCTCAGAGGGCAATGCTGAAGCCCACCCAGGTGTCTGGCCCTGAGGACATCTCTTAGCAAGCTACTGTGAACACCAGCATTGAATCTCCTGCATTTCCTCCTTCTGGTCACTGTTACCCCTGTGTAAGACGCAGCTAAAATGTAACCAGGCCAAGGCCAGAAGAACACGTGTGTGCAGAGTAGGGAGGACAGGGGCTTGGATTGCCTGAGAAGCCTGGGCTGGGAGCTTGCGAGGAGACAGCAGGTCAAGCAATTCTTGATGAGAAACACACTCTTGGGCAGTATTTTGGTTGTGTAATTGTCCCATTAGCTTATTAATGAGATGCTGTCGTTGTTATCTGTTTGAAACCAGGTTGGACCTCTGCAGTCAGAGGCCCTGTGACGCCATTGTGCTCCAGGTCTGTCCTTCAGCTTGAGCCAACACTCACCACGTGACTGTGGGGACCAGCAAGGGAAAAGAGGCGCTGCCTGACGGGGGTTAGGATCTGGGGTCAGAGGCTCAACCTTGGGGAGTTTCTTGAACTTGAGCTCACCATGTTGGAATGGTGCTTAACTCTCAAATTTGGAGCTTCTTAGGTTTTTTGTTACTTTTTGGCCAGGTGCTTACAGCAACTGAGGATAGGTCCTGCTCACATCTGGAGCTTGGCCCTGGCTGCTATCACAGCGACGTTTTTCTCCTTGATTATCAGTGTTCTCAGAAGGTGGGGGGGGGACTTTGTCATTGCATGCTGCCTCATACGTTATAATACGTTATAGACACTGAAAGATTTTACAGGCCACCACTGATCCCGTGTCCTCTCCCTATCAACTGTGACCACAGAGCCTTGTCCCAGTTTGTGTGAAGCACATGGGGGCAGTGGGGGGCAATGAATAGTTCCTGTCTCTGCCCTGACACCCACCTGCCCATCTAGGACCCTGAGAGACAAGACCATCCTTTGGTCCTGGGAACAGTGGCTTTCCCTCCTGGCCCAGGGCTGTCTCCTGTGGAATGCAGGAGTGGCTGGAGCCACAGCCCCCTAAAGGCTAGGACGGGGGGAGAGCCGAGCGTGGGATTCCTGAAGCTTCACCTCACAAGCCCCTGCATAGGGGACTTCTAGCACATCTTCCTGTGGTATAAGGGCCAAACAGCTGCCAGCAGGGGTGGAGGGGGACGGCCACTGAAGTCCTGCAGAATGACTGTTTATGTCTGTGTTATTCTGAAAGATACTGACTTGTTTATTTAATTAAAACCTCCTAGGTTGATTATAGGTGGCAGAATATAATATTGCCAGCCAAGACTGAGACTCTGCTGAAAAATTAATACAGATTCATTTTCAGTACCTCATAGGAGAACATTCTGCTCAAATGAATGTTATTGTCCTTGGCAGAAATTTTCTAAAAGATCCTAATTCACTTCTTGTTTTCCTTGCATATTAACTGACAGTCTTTTGCTATAGTATACATCTAGTTGCACATTTAAATCACCAGTGAATCATTTGAAATGTGTGTTTCTAGACCAGCAAAAAGGCTGGTGACTTCAGAGCCTGATTAGTCTAAATTTTCGAATCCACGTAGCACACCACTTTGTATCAGGCACAGCTAATATTTCTTAAATTCTAAAACACAGGGACAAAGGCTCCCAGAGGTGTGTTTCTCACCCATGTCAATGAATACCAAGGAATGCAAATCTGTTTTTCTCTTCATCTTAAGTTCCCTTAAATGTGATCCTCCACGGTGCCTGTTTCTCTCAGTTTTACAGACCACTGAACATTCGCATAGTGTTGGTGGGCGTGGAAGTATGGAATGACATCGACAAGTGCACCATCAGTCAGGACCCGTTTACCAGCCTCCACGAGTTTTTGGACTGGAGGAAAATGAAGCTTCTACCTCGAAAATCCCATGACAATGCGCAGCTCATCAGGTGGGTAGCCAGCCGCCCTGGCTTAGGGAAACACTGCCCTCCGCACACTCCCCTCGGCTGCACCTGCATCCCGACCCTCTCTGCAGAATGCACCAGCTCCTGCATGGGGTTCTCCTGCACCTTCATCCTGACCCTCTCTGCAGAGTGCACCGGCTCCTGCATGGGGTTCTCAGCCACACCAGTGGGGCAGGTGTCGTCTCTACCTGGAGTCACAGGTCTGTTAGGAAAGCCCCTTGGGACACCAGGGAAATCTGTCCCTCTACCAAAGTCTGGTCTCAGTCCCTTCTTCCACGATTGGAGCACGTTCCTCTCTGCCAGTTTTTCTGGTCTTGATATAAAATCCACCTGCGTAGGTTACCTTTTCCAAAGACTCACTTGTTTTCTTTATTGATGGAAAACATGTTTATACAAGACCTAAGGGCAGGACTTTGGGGTGATTATTGTCAGGTTTGGGAGGGAAAACCTCCGCTCCATTCCTCCTGTGAGCTGTTGCTCTCAGACTTCCCAGGTCAGAGCATGCTGGCAGGGTCACCGGCTGGCCTTGTGTTCCTTCTTTACTCAGCATGCAGTTGGCACCTGTCAGAGCCAGGCAGTGCTGTGGGGCTCCGATCACGGTGGTGACCCACACTAAATCTCCCTGCTCTGAGGCGTTGGAGAGAAGACAGCAAGATATAAAACTCTCGAGGGTGACAAGGGTCATGGAGTTAGCAAGATGAGGGACAGCTAGCTGTGGCCTGGCGTGATACACGGTGAGATATGACAGCACCTTCAGGCTCCCAAGCAAGGAGCACCCTCACAGCAGTCCGATAGGTACCACGTAGGTGTTTCCAGAGGTGGTACGTGTTCATCTGGGTGGTAAAGCAGTTTGTGCTGCTATCCTTCGGTTCTCAGGCAGCTTACGTCACCAGCGCTGAGGCTGCAGGGACGGAGAGAGCGCTCCTTGGCCCTCGGATCTAGTTGGCTGAAGACTTTGGGGAGTTTAGAACCAGCCCGCACCACCCCTGCTCCAGGAGGCGGCTGGTCTGCCCAAGGCTGCTGGCACGCCCCGTCATTTACTTTGGCCATTCTCACAGGGGTTCCCTCCCTTGGATATTTGTGGTTGCCTCACATTTTATGCATTGATTAGCCCTGAACTACTAAAAGGCCACTTCATGGGTTCTGAGTCAGAGTATTTTGTTTCGATTCCCCCGTGCCCCCCCACCTCCCCCAATGGAGTCTATCCAACTTGAACATCTGGAAATAAGCCTTATTATTTATATGCATGTCTGTTTATCTGTGAAGGTGGTGTACGTAGGTGTGAATATAAGGGCTAAATCCCCTCCTTCTACAAATATGAGCATCGGGTCGACTCTCCACCTCTGTGGATCTCACCTCTGTGGATTCAGCCAGACTTGGGCTGAAAATACCTGGTGGGGGGACTCCTTCTGCACTGAACATATGCGGACTTTCTTTCCTAGTCATTATTCCCTGAACTATCTACATTGATTTTACACTGCATTGGGCATTATAGATAATCTAGAGGTGATTCAAATTCCACCAGAGGGTGTGCTTAGTTTCTATGCCAATACTATGCCGTTTTACACGGGGGATGTGAGTATCCATGGATTTTGACATCCTGGGGGTGCCTTAACCAATCCCTTGTTGATATGCAGGGATGACTGTAGCAGGGTGGATGGATAGATGAGGTTGACATTCACTCTCCACCTCTGTCCAATAGACCACAACTAAAATAGCTGGCTTTTCCAACAACATAGGATTATCTGTTTGTGTACTTGACCAACACAGCACAAGTCAGTGGTTTAATTCCTTTAAAGGGTTCAGCACATACAATATTAAATACTTAGTTTATAAGGTTGGAACTAACAGGGTTCACGTGAACATGCTATTGGATCCGTGATCAGGTTAAGAGTCCAGATAAAAGGCAGCTACACGAAGGCCACAGAGTCCCCTTCTAGAATCTTCCACCAAAGGTGCTGATTTCATGAGTGCTTATGGATGCTACACCAGCTCCCAGGGAACCACCACTTCTCTGTGGATTTCAATTTTGCAGGCTGTATTGGCAGGACACTTTGAAGGAGTTTGGGTCTCTGGCAAAACTCTCCATGAGGAGTTCCTCAGTATTCATCCATGACAGAAAAGCTACTGCACCGTCTCAGGTGTACCCTTTCCTTAACAGTGATTCTCGGTTGTCTAAAGGAGCAACTCCCTGCGGTCCATCAGGAAAACAAGCTGGCTGCAGCTTATAAATACACAGTGACAGCTGGGTGCTGTCCAAGTAGACAACAAAACTCTGTAGGAACCATGAGACCCTACTGCAACCAGAAAAAAATAAAGAGTAAAGGAAAAAAGATGGGAATAGTTTTCCTACCTCGGTGCATCTCGATCAGCAAACAGCAGGAGAGTGTGTGCCGTGCCCTCGTGCAGCTGTCTCCATGACCGCCCAGTCTCCTGCAGGCATGCGGGACAAAGGTTGAAACACTAGAACACGCGTCCACTCTACACGATATTAAAGAAATCCCTTCCTTTTGTTTCCTAGTGGGGTCTATTTCCAAGGCACCACCATCGGCATGGCGCCCATCATGAGCATGTGCACTGCGGAGCAGTCTGGAGGCGTGGTCATGGTAAGCCGAGCGGCTGGCTTCCCTGGGTGATGGTCCCCAGGAAACCACTGCTCTCTTCAGACTTCCTTTCATGCTGTTCAGACTTAATCTGCTCTGACTCTAGCCGGGTTTATGATCTTCTGTATCCCATCATATTTTAGGGACTGTTTAGAAAACAGAAATTGCACCCAGTAAAGATGGGCATGTAATAAAGAAACAACCAGTCATCTCAGTGGAGGCCAGCCTTCCCCTGTCAGGGAAAACATTTTCAACTGGGACTTCCCGTCAGCGCCTTCCAATCCAGAAATGCCTCTAGTGCCGGGATGAGCCAGGGCATCGGGGTTGCCCTCTTTCCTCAGCTCTTTGGATCGACTGTGGTCCCTCCAAATGTTACCGTTCAAGGTTTCCTGATGGTTCTGCCTCCAAGCCCCACAGCCAGAAGTCTGAGGTTTTCAACCGCGTACCACTGCAAATGCTTTACATACCTTCTGGCCAGTGTACAATTTGTCTCTATAATAACCTTATTCTTGGAAGGCAGCGACCTAAGTTTATTGCTTTACAAGGGGAACTTTGTCACATACAGGCTGTGCATGTTTGTAGAAGGAAATAAAACAGGAAGACTATTTGGGCCTTCTTATGGATTTAGGAGGGAGGGGGCTTTGATGGCTGCCCAACAGGGGGGCCTGCTCCAGAAGAGGTTTTCCCCCTCTGCTGTCCGGCTCTGAACTGAAGGGCGCTGGGACGGCAGCAGCCCTTGGACAGGGAGTACCCTCAGACACTTCCTCCATCTCCACTCACCAAGCACAGCCTCGCCCTCCCAAGAAACCGCAGTTCCTCCACGTTTTCCAAACAGAACATTGCGAGTGCTGGGTTGTGAGAAGGGCGGAAGGAATTGTGTTCTGCTGACTGTGACTTTCTCCCCGTGTCTCGCCCACTCTAGTCTTCACAGGGAGTGCGCTCAGCATGTCCTCCTCTCCAGGTGCAGGGCCTGGTAGCTCCTGTGCTCCTATTTGGAGGGACTATGCCTGCTCACTGGATGGTGGCTCCGGGGAGCTACTCTCTGGTTTCCTTTGAACCTGGAAGTCATTAGAAAGTTTAAGGGGGGGGGGGTTGATGCGATGTTAATTTCAAGTCAATCACAACTGTATTTTTACAGAGCAGCCTATAAAGTTTAAAGAGGGGATCATTTTCTGTTGCATGGTTCCATGGCTAGTTGCTACTGACTTTGTCACTTAAAATTGGCAGAGATAAGTTCCGAGAGCCGAAACCAAATTCCCCATGAGCAAAGCAGTGTCACTGTGTAGGGCTGAAACCATCCTACAACCCCTCAGAGAGGCGCAAGGCTTTCCTTAGCTCTCATCCTGGTTCTGTTTCTGTAGAAGCATTTTATCAAGATTTCTGCTTTAAAAGCATGCTGGGAAATTTATTTTTTTAAAGATGTATAAGTATGGCGTGAGAAATAGAAGCAAATTATGTGTGATGCCAAGAGAATCTAGTCAAAACCAAAGTTAGTTATCAAGAAACAGGTTTTACCAATTTGAGAGCAATTCACATCGAATTAAACAAATTCCTTGTTTTATACAACGCATAAGAGAAACATCAGACAGAGTGGAAATGCCCTTTAATTTCTATAAATTCATGAAACCAGCAAGCGCAACGTTTTGACCAGGTCTAAAACTTCTATGCTGATTTTCTCTTCTTCTTTCCCTAAATTCATGGGCATTACATGTGACTATGTCTTGCTTGAGGATTCTCAGATCTAAGAGGAATGAAATAACGTGACCAGGAAGCAGAAATCTTCAAAAAAATGTAGAATATGGTTTCTGGTATTATTTCTCCAATTTTCAATCACTAACTTCAGCAACTTAAAATAGTAACCTTATATCTAACTGGCCCCAAATAGGTTTTGATTCAGGGACTATACCAGAAATAGAGAGGTTGTTTTTCTCCTTATTACAAATTCAAACTGTTACCAAGGTCTCTTAAGAGATATTCTGTTTATAATCATTTATGCATAAAAAATATAAAGTAACTGCAATTAAAACCCAAACTGTGATTTCCAGTGATGCAAGAGAATCCTTGATGTGAAAGAACTTTGTGCCGACACGTGCTCAGGTCAATCCTTGCATTCTTAGGCTGGCTACACTCTCTTACCAATGCGTATGATCCTAAGAATTGATTTCCTGAACACGTATTTGTAAAGCTTCCTAAAGCGGGAAACTGTAAAATATTTTTTTTAAAAAAATAATTTATTAGGAATTCCATCTTTTCTAATAACTTTCTTCCTTGACATGCCATTTTTTCCTGAAGTTGAGGGCTAGCAGGGTGAGAGCTACCACCGTAAATACCACTGGCCAAGATCTTACGAGAACTGCTTTTATCCAGGTCCTCACAAAGACTGCGAATCAGGAAGAGTGTTTTCTCTCACATGCAGAACCACACTGCTTCCTGGATGCCTTTTGGAAAACCTCTTCTCTCTTCCCTGGGGAGCACAAATGAAGATTCCAGAAAGATGCTCTTCTTACTCTGTGGCCAGTAGGCCCTTTCAAAACCACCATCCAGGAGCACAATTTCTGTGAATCACATACACTAATTAACTAACATTTAAGAAACTTTGCTTGTTAGTGGGTTTCTAGTGTCTGCTTAGCCAAGCCCGCCAAGCACACCACTAGCTGGGTGGCCAGGCAGGGCTTGCCGAATGGGGAACCACCTTCCTCAGCCTGGCAAAGCCGAAAGTGAACCCCCAGCAGCAGCACCCGGAGCATCAGGCGCCTCTGTTCACGTCCACAGGCAACCTGACCACACAAAGGGCCAGCGGGAGTGGGAGCTGATTGTAATCGGGGTTCGGTCAGTCTTCAAGCAGACGACTCCATGTGGTCAGCCTTCCCTGTGAGTTAGCGTGAACTTTGCCAGTATCCTCCTGACCGAATCGACAGGCGAGGCAGGGCCGTCACAGCCGCTCAGGCCGTAGGTTGCGTATCAGAGAGCACCTTCCCGACATGCTCCTTCCTTCAGGTAGCCTCTCAATCAGGCATGAGACCTGCTTCCACTTCCCAGGAAGGAGTGGGCTTTCTCTTCCACGCGATGGAGCAAGCTCTGCTTCATTCAGTGGGATGTTTTGTGAGAGCTTGAGGGTGCAGGGTGGAGACCACCACAGTGATTCTTTCATATGAAGATATGAAGAGCTGGGGATGTGGCTCAGAGGTAAAAGTACTTGCCTGGCATGCATGAGGCCCTGGGTTCGAATCCCCAAGCATAAAAAAAAATATATGAAAATCCTGTGTGTACATGAGATATCCAGTCCCCAGGAGAAGAGGTCCCAAACTGGATTAATAAAGTATGTCAATTTTTCTAGGTTCAAAGTCAATAACAGGTGTCTATGTTGGTCCTTTAGAGGGAATTTGATGACCTCATGATAGGAAATTGTCCAGCAGGGAGGGAGGACCAGACCAAGGAACCCAAGGAGATGTGAACTATATGTCTGTGCTCTTGTGTTTTCTTTGAGGACCATTCAGACAGCCCCCTGGGTGCGGCCGTGACCCTGGCACACGAGCTGGGCCACAATTTCGGGATGAACCACGACACACTGGAGAGAGGCTGTAGCTGCAAAATGGCTGCTGACAAAGGAGGCTGCATCATGAACCCTTCCACCGGGCAAGTACTAAGGCTCCCAGGGCTCCGAGAGTGGTGCAGAGCTTGGAGTGTGTGTGGGTAACAGCTGAGCTCAGCAAAATGCTCCCCTGGTTTTCTGGTCAGTCCTCCCCGGAACTTCCAAAAAAAATCCTTGCCCAAGTAGCAAGAGTGAACGGTGCTGCTCCACAGAGTCCCGCGCAGCCAGTGTGCAGGGCCACACGGCACGGCCCATTCCCTGGAAGGGGTGGGGCTGGATGCTGTGTCTGTTTAGAAATTGCAAATGATTTTATAATGCCAGCGGGTGGTTTTGATTTGAGCCTACAGAGGCTCCCTAGCAATCTGAACAGCCAGCCATGAGAGGGCCTTGCAGACCCAGTGGGCCGAGGTGGGGTGGGTCCCTTGGCCCTAGAGTGTGCAGGTGAGGCATTTGCTCCCCCTGGGTTGGCCCGGGGCATGTCCGATGTGTTGGTAGCTTGGGGATTGTAGTGTCCTTGCACGAGACGTATTACCTTACCGGATCGCAGAGGTTTAAATCAAATCATTTTCTGCTTCCGTAAATCAGGTTGTTTCTCCTTATTTACTGCCTCTCTGAATCTCTGGTCTTGGTTCAAGCAGAGGGAGGGAGCACCATGATTGGAGCCCTCCAAAGAGATGGAAACAAATGCAACTTGGAGTGACTAGAGATTCAGATCTGCTGTACCTTGTTTTCCTCAGCTTTTTCATTGCTATGTAAAAGACCTGACAACACTAATGTAAAGGAGGAAGAGTTTTGGGGGGCTCATTATTTCAAAGGTTCATTCTATGGTCAGCCAACTCCATAGTCTGGGGCAGAGATGAGGGAGGCCATCATGGCCGAAGGGCAGGGCAGGGGAAAGCAGCTCTGTAGGTGGCACCCTGGAAGCAGAGAGAGAGCTCCTGGCACCAAGGACAAGGTGAACTCCAAGGACACACCCCCCAGGGACCTACTTCCTCCAGCTTACAGTTACCATCCACTCAATCCTTATCAGTGGATTAATTCACTGATAGCTCGTGCTGCTCAAAATGTGTCTATTTCATCTCTGAAAATTCTTGCATCACATCACACATGCGCTTTGGGGGGACACTGCATATCTCCACTATAACAAACCTCTAAGCATCCACCCCAGACTAGCACATCCTGCTAGCACAGGAGGATCTCTTTAGCAAGGGAAAACACGCCCCAGGGCCATGCCATCTTCTTCAGCAACCCTGAGGCTTCGCACCCTCCTTGGTGGAACTTTCCAAGCCTGCTCTCTGGGTTTGCTGAAAGGAGACACTGGGGACAAGGAGTGAGTGTTGACTGAGTGGACTGAAGACTTGGGCTCTGTGAGGCCTTGGGGCCCCGGGCACAGACCTGCAAAAGAGTCTCAAAGTCCCAGAAGAGGGAGGGGTCATCAAAGCATGTGGTCGTGCTTTGCAAGCCACAGCCAAAGGGCCTCCTGCCAAATGGCTCGAAGGGCACCAAACTGCCCCGCAACAAAGACCAGGCAGACCACGGCGCATGCCAGGCACCGTCACTTCACGTGAGCCATCAGTGAGGTGTCTTCTCCAGCAGGCGCTGCTTCCTCGTGTCCCTCGTGTCCATGGCCACCATCAAATGTCCACTCCAGCCTGGGGCCATCTTTTCCACTCAAGTTGGGGGTCAAGCATGATTCAAGGGAGTCATGGAGAATTTGTGGAGGAAGTTGCTCGCTGCGTTGTGACAACAGAAACAGGGACTGCGCCCAAAATATTTTAGACCAGCATCAACAGGGAGTGAAATATTCCAAAGCTCTAGATACTAAAAAGTGGAGCTTTCAGCCGGCCACTCTGAAGCGTGACTGTGCCCTTGTCATTTAGGGTGTCCCAGCGGAGGCAGCATCACGGCTGGACACTTAGGGCACGGAGTTCCTTCTTTGGGTGTGAGGTTGCCCCAGGGGCCTGTTGGTGCCTTCTGACTCCAACAGGCCATGAGCCCAGATGGAGCCAGTGTCCCTGGGCGGCTCTCGGTGTGTGGCTCTCGGTGAGGGCAGTGGACAGGAAGTTGATGTGGAACCAAGTGCTCTTTGGGCTTTCTTGTCCTGATGAACTCATCAAGTGGCCACAGCAAATGCTCTGTGTGCGTAATTTCCCTAATTATCAAGTGGGCACAAATATATCGGCCTCCTGCCTTCCGGAATTTGGTCCCCAGTGGCCAGGATCTCGTTGTCCATCAAAGTTGCTAATGCTTTTAAATTCTCCATAAAAGAAACAAGAGGAAGAGAGGGAAGCTGGTTTGGGAACACCGTTGGAAGAAACCTGACTGTCCCCAGTCCAACCCAGTTCCTTTGCTATTACCAGGCTGACAAGCCACCCCTCTGGCCCTCACATGCCCAGTCAGGGAAAAGAATGGCAGTCTTGGTTCACGCATCGACCCTCCCCTCCTCCCTCCTCCCCACCCACCCCTGGTGTTGCCCCTGTGCACTGTGAGGAGGAGAGCACAGAGGCAGAAGACCCCGCAGCCCCAAGTGCGTCCCGAAGGCTCACTCTCCGCTGACCACAGCCAGCCAAGGCACCCCAGAGGCATTCGAACACCTCAGGTAGAAATGGTATTGTAAAGAGCTCAGCAAAACATTTAAAAGGCTTTTTTCCCCTCTGTTACCAGGGGTTTGTTAACAGCCTTTATTTGATTTATACCTTATTAGCAATTTCTAAGTTTCCTCTTCTGCTGAGCTTGTGCTTTTGCGTAAATCTTTTCTATTTGGTTCTCATTTATGATCCCACATTCCTGTCCAGAGAGTGGTGTTTTTAATTTTCTCAGATGGAAAGCAACTTCCTAAGCAAGTGGGTGAATTAATCACAAAGCCCACGCTGAGGGGGAGGCCAGGCAGCCCCCAGTCATCCATCACCCGCAGTGGAATTTCCCAGGCTGCTCCAGCGTTATCTCCAAGCGGTGGTTCCCTTACCTCATAGTGTCCCCGGGAGAGTGGGAGAGTGGATTAAATGAGCTCATGTGTCTTTGTAAATTGTAAATCATCCCACAGATGCAAGGCAGTATTCCTGTTATGTAGTTCACAGAGACGTCGGAACTAACAAAGCCTTAGAGGGGTTTTTCAGAATTCCCGGCCGTGTACTGTCCCTCAGCAATGCATCCAGTTTCTGTGTGAAGGGCTCATGTTAAACTGGCCACGTCCACGTACCAGCCTTCTCTCTGACTTCTTCCTGCCCACGTTGATCCAACCATGGTGGCAAGGGTTAAGAAAGTGTGCTGATTGAAGTCTTAGCCTCAAAGGGACTCAGAAAGAGATGAACCCACAACTGCCTTAATATTAAAGTCCCTGAATCAAAAAGAACCAAGTATTATAAGTGGTTTAAAGGGGAAAATATGTCTGCCGATATACGAGGTTCATCCTTTATCAGAGCATTGCAGAATCCTAGCTCTGAAAACACCGGCCAACTGTCACCTCAGATGAATGGACGTACATGGCCTGCACGTACATCTAGCATAGAGTGGGGTCCCGTGTGAACTCGGGTGTTGTGACTTCCTTTACATGTTGCAGCAGTGGTCAGAGGGAGTTTCCTGATGGGTCGTGTCATTAATTACCGAGCGCCCCTGCGTGTGTGTGAGCGTGTGTTTTGTGTCTCGGGTAGTTAACATTTAAGACCTGTCTTGGAAATCACTTCTTGGCAAATGCAGGATCTGGGGGTTCCTGTGGGAGTTGATTCACTGGAGTCTGTCCATTAATGACCTTCCTGCAGCACTTGCTGGTACAGGGCTGAGGCTGAGGATGCTGCGTGAGTAGCAATAAGGAAATGGGAATGATGTGAGCACTTTTAATGAAGAACATTTGGCACCACAGTGAAGGCCGCTTCCTGGAGGGGAGAGACGGCAACGTTATATTCCGAAATCGACCCCACAGATTCCTCTATTTTGCAGAGATCTTTCTGTTAAAATGAGAGTCGGGGGGCTAGGGCCATCTTGTGAGGGGGAAAGCGGTGGAAGCTGCAGCACCTGTAAACTGGGCTCCTGCCACCACTGGGCTCCTTAATGGTGTTGGGGACGCACCTTGAACAGGGCAGACACACTGTGGAACTTACAGTGGGGAAAACATCCTAAGAAAACAACAAATGAAAACATTGCAGATTGGAAGGAAGGCTGTGAAGGGAGCAAACAAAGAGAATAGAAGGGGTGAAAGGGGTTGGGAGGAGGGAGGAGAGAGAGAGAGAGAAAGAGAATGCACCAGTGAAGAGGCTGGGTGTGGCAGTGCATGCCCAATCCCAGCCACTCAAGAGGCTGAGACAGGAGGATCATGAGTTTGAGGCCAGCTTTGGCAATTTAGTAAGACCCTGTCTC